GTGTGTGTGTGTGTGTGTGTGTGTGTGTGTGTGTGTGTGTGTGTGTGCGTGTGTGCTAGTTGAGCTCCAAACTCCACAGGGCATCTTTAAACTCCTTTTTTATGCATATCTCTGTAGGCTCTATGGAGGATGGTACTGCTCTGGGAGATGTGGAGCTGCCTCTGTGGGCGAAAGGTGACCCCCAGGAGTTCATTAGAATCCACCGAGAGGTCAGTGACCCCCGACCTCACCAGGCTTATCTCTTACAGTTGGCCGGTCTTGACTATTGCAAACAGGAACTTTTCCCATGAGACCTGATATTGTTTGTCAATACTTGTTAATGTATGTACACATAAGACGCACTGTTTTAGTATCTAAAACAAGTATCTATTGTAATAGTCGGACCGTAATGGTGTTGGTGGCAGTCAGTCTGTTTGCCTTTGTTCTTTCTACCACAGTATAAGAGACGGATCTTATTCACAGCAGCCACTGTCTTATTCATTATACTCTCTAAAGGCTATCTTGTCTCATTGAGCTTGGTTCAGTTAAATACTTCTAGCACTGACTGTTTTCAAATATAATGACCGGTTCTTTTGCTTATCAAGACAATCTATGAAAAGGCATGTATCTGAAGTTGAGATGACAGACAGCGAAGGACAACAAGCCTATTTACCACCATTGAGTGCAAGCACAAGACTGTCCATTTTTCATGACGCTATTATTTCTGCCAGCTGTTTATGGGCTGAATATGTTCTAAGCTCTTTCTTCTCTTTCCCTGTGTGGTGTTATTGTATATCTCTGTTCTTTTTCTCTCTGCTGGCCTGATTTCTTCATTGAGACCCTCTCTTTTTCCATTCCTGGGGCATCTATGATGGTTATCACTCTGTAATCTACTGAACTACTCGTATTGCCCACCATTCTCATAAAATTTGTGACTTTAGGAGATTGTTTTTTTCTTCCATAGACAAATTAACTCAGGACAATATATCCTTGTTATGATGGTTTTTTTCCGTTTTCTGGTATTCCAGGATGGGTTTATTAACATTGGGTGCAAGGATACACATGCTGGTCATAAAGCCCACTTTTGCTTATTAACTCTTCAAAACCAATCTCTTGCTAATTCCACCCAAATGATTCTTTAATTCAGACATGAAGATATGCTCATAACACAGTTGTGCAGCATCTTGCTGTTCTAGACTTCTAAATTGACTTTTAAAAGAAATCCTACTGTACCTGAATAATTTGATTGGTTGTGCATTCTTGTAGAAGTTTCTTGTGTTTCTAAACTCTCATAATAACGGTTTGACTGATGGTTTTGGTCCCACTGTAATAACAATGAGCACTGCACACGGATGTATTTTAGGACTGAACAGTGCATGTATAGTAGTTTTGTAATATTTCTTTACTAGGTGGTCTTAGTTTATGCCACAATTTCCCCCAGGCCTTGGAAAGTGACTATGTGAGTGCCCACCTCCACCTGTGGATCGACCTGATTTTTGGGTACCGGCAACAAGGCCCTGCTGCAGTAGAAAGTGTGAACACGTTCCACCCTTACTTCTATGCTAAGAAAGGCCGGCAAGATGCTAAGGACCCCCTCATCAAGAGCACAATCTTGGGATACGTCAGCAACTTTGGCCAAGTTCCCAAACAGGTAAAAAAAGAATAAGCTGGGGGAAGTGGAAAAATGCATAACTTCCTGCATGCAAGTGTAT